ATTTTCGAATTCATGATGAGTTGTAAATAACACTCGGTTAATAATAACTTTTCTTTTGTTTTGTCCGATATAAGAACAAATAAAATACTCTGTTTTTCTTTCTAAGACCCTTTTTAAGTATGACACGATAACTCGTTTTCAAGTGATTTGGACCGGCCACATTATGATTCCATACATCAAAAAGTATAGAGTATACTATACATATAATCAAAACTATGGTTTAAATCTGTATATAATATGAAACTCTAATTTGTTACGCGTGATCATCTAAAGATTATTAAAATATTATATTATGAGTGATCATCTAAAGATTATTAAAAGATATTTGTGCACATATGACATATCTACATGTGCGTCGGTGCGTCCATGTGAATTTAAGAAATGAATTGAAACAGAAAGGAGAGAGAGCTTGTAGTTGTGTTGTGTGATTACTCTGTTCCTAAGTACCTGAAACAAGGCGAATTAAGAGAAAGATATCTTACAACAACCGGGAGTGCAGTGCCGATGAACAATGCCTTGAAGTTGACATACTCACCGCAATGAATCCATTTCGCAATGTCAAGTAGTCAGTTTTCCCAACGGATCTGAAAAACTGTATAAAGAAACATCCCTGCATCGCATAGTATATTGAATACAATTTTTAAGTACCTTCATTCTCCCAAGCATCATGGTTAAGAAGAATATGAGGATGTGCAACTGGTGAAGTGCGTCGACAGAGATAACCTCTTCATAACCCTGCATTTTTTCATTTCTTAATCTTCGGAACAGCAAGACAATATGTGTATTCGAATATCTTACTAATTTCGGTAACATTGGATTCTCATAATTTAACTAAATATTGAAGGAACTTTAAGTTTGTTATTTATTTTAATTATTTGTTCACTAATGTTAAATAATCGTACTATTAAGAGAGATTAAAAAATATTTGATAATTTTTATTTTCAAAATTTTAATCAATTATTTAGTTAATATGATTTATTCCGTTCTAAATATATGTAAATAACAAAATTTCAAAGAAATATAATATTTTCCTATAAAAATAACCATTGTTATCAAAGTGATTTAGAGTCACTTCATATCCCATGCATTACTTATAAAAGCAACAATTAATT